CGAGCTGATGAGGGAGGGGGACTTGATCGGGGGAGGGGGAGGGAAATGGGAGGCGGTGGCGGGGAGGAGGCAGAAATCCTTAATAAACAAATAAATTTAAAAAAATGGATGCACTCACTTTAGCAGAAGTGATGAGTGAGTACTGACTAGGAGTTGGGAAAATGTATGTCAGCATAGACAGCAAGTACGCAATTCAACAGCAGTATTCAATTCAATGATTCATGTCCTGACTGTTTGGAGAAAGTCTTCCTTGAATAAAATTATATAGTAGAAGCTATTGAAATAAAGTCACCAGGAGAGACAGACAGCACAGGCTCATGGGGGGAGAACCAGAGCCTGAGCTACACAAATATCTGAGCTACACAAAAGATTTAGCATGGATTGAAGTGTGATATATTATGAAATACTTTGTGTTTCAAAGGTGCGTTGGTAGTAAAAGAAGACCAGTTTCTTAGAAACCACCTCATGAGACAGCACAGAATGTTGTAAGGAAGGGGTGCTGGGAACACTGCCCTAGACGGAATGTTGGCTACCTACTCAACATGTGACCTGAATTATATCATTTTCTCAGTGTTTTCTATTTTATTTATACACAGAATAAATTTATGCCCAGTGTAGGAAGATTCATTTATGATTCTTTCTCTTAAAACAACAGTAAGTAAACCTGAGTCTTAAGAAATTTCATTGCATAAATTGCTTGGATTCAAGACAAAAAGATCAGTAAAGATGATAACAGAACACTGGATAATGCCAACATGTATGGCCATTAAGATATATAATATGAAGCAATGCCAAATGGCTTTATGATACTTAATGATTAGGCAATATTCTTTCTAATATATTAAAGATCAATTTTGATGCAGACATTTTCCTATATATTATGACTAGCACAGATTTTTTTCCCTAACCACCCAGCTGCTATAATGTTAAATAAGTTAATTTTAATCTTAAATCAGAGATGTAATAGAGACAGGGTGATTTAATATGCAATCTCATTATGGTTGACAGGCTTATTTATAAATGATCTGCCCACATTTTGACAAGCATAGTTAATATGTTAATTAGCTTTAAAAAGATGATGATAGGAAGCGCTTGACAAACCATCATTCTTTGCACACGGTGTTGGGGGTGCTGCCGTTGATACCCTGGGCCCCCTCTAAAGCACAAAGCCTTTGAGGAGATAATCATTTATTAACAACAGATAATTTAGCTACCTGATATTAAAAATTAATCCGGTAAAATAATCCCCAACAACGTTCTGCTTTAGAGAACCCGAGCAGCTGCAAAGGCAGGTCAGAGCATGCAGAGAGGAAATGAGCTTATTTAAAATCCCAGCTCTGCAGACAGAGCTGTGCTTTCTAGTCAGCCAAAAGTTACACAGATATGCTGCCCTCACGTCCATGCTCCCTTCCTGTGTTCCTCAGAACCCACGAGTCTCTCTGGTTTAGAAGCTTAGCCAAGCTTTTAAATGCTCTGACGTTCAAGGCACTACGCAATCCAAGCATTAACAGACGCTTTACAAGAGGCAACGTTCAATTCGAATTTGCTGCTTAGATCTTCATTCATCAAAGGAAACAAAGGTACCAAAACTACCGTGATGCGCTGTTAACTTGTTCTATGCATTCACACATCACCATGGTGCTGGCGACACACAGGAGAAGCTCCTAGTGGTGCCAGCTCTGATTTCCATCACATGCTGACACTGTTATTGCATATGTGTCTTCATTAATATCTTTAGTGCCTGTGGCTATTGAACGCTGTGTAGGGATCATCAGTTCTTAGTTACTCCAGCCCCAGGACAGTAAATGAACTGTAAAAATAGCCTGAAACTCCTGCCACCTGCCTCCCTACTGCTGTCCTTGGGTTAATATTTGTATTTCTTTTTGGTGCAGCTGAGCCATGACTCAATTACAATCCCATTTCCAGGTGTCTGAATAGCCTGCATCGATGTCATTGATTATGCAAAAATCAGCTCCCTGTGAACATCCCCCTCATGGGAAAGACACATACATTTTCACCTGATTGCAAAATAGCAGAGCAGCTTTTAGAAAATTGCTTGGAATGAAATCAGATTCCAAATGACAGGCATGGCATAGACATCTTAGATTTTAGAGCTTGGAAGTGAACTGAAAATAAGCACGGGAAGCTCAATCCTCATACACTTGCTATTTGTGTCTGGCAATGAGTAACGTTGGCATGGGGACAAGGGGGCATTTGGGGTCCCCTATTTTCTATCAGATTTCCCCGTCTTAAATAGCAGGCTTCTTCATATGCTTCTATCATGCCTCTGTTCAAAACAAATTGGCAGCAAGTGCCCGACCATCTCTCACACACAGGGAGAGGGGCAAAGCGGGGCAGACTAGAAAACCGTGTGTGCCAGAAACAAACATAGGAGAAAGCCGGAGCCCATCCTGTATTCGGAACTATAAAAACCACCCGAGTGTGTGTGTGTGCACATGCGCATATATATGTGTGTGTGAGAGAGTATGTATATGGAGGCCAGAGGTCAGCTTTGAGTGTTGTTTCTCAGGAAGCTCTCTACCTGTGCAGAGGAGGGCAGTTCTCTGACTGGCTAAGAGCTCTCCAGGTAAACTAGGCAGACTGGGCAGTGAGGCTCAAGAATCTGCCTGCTTAGCATATTCATGCTTGTACATTGGTTTGGGGGACTGAATTGAGGTCCTCCAACTAAGCAGTAACTCCAGTCACTTAGACATCATTCTGTTTGTGTGCTGTACATATGTGTGAGTGTGTGTATACGTGACTGTAGGCACATGTATTCATAGCAAGGTCAATGGTGTCCTTGCTGTCCACCTTCATTTTTGAGACAAGCTATCTTCCTGAATTGGCTAAGTTGAGCTCCAGGGTCCCACCTGTTTCCTGATTTTCTGTGCTGTGCCACGGTGCTAAACTTAGTAGTTACATGCATGTGCCACGGCGCTAAACTTAGTAGTTACATGCATGTGCCACAGCGCTAAACTTAGTAGTTACATGCATGTGCCACGGCGCTAAACTTAGCAGTTACATCCATGTGCCACGGTGCTAAACTTAGTAGTTACATGCATGTGCCACGGTGCTAAACTTAGCAGTTTCATCCATGTGCCACGGTGCTAAACTTAGTAGTTACATGCATGTGCCACGGTGCTAAACTTAGTAGTTACATCCATGTGCCACGGTGCTAAACTTAGTAGTTACATGCATGTGCCACAGTGCTAAACTTAGTAGTTACATCCATGTGCCACGGCGCTAAACTTAGTAGTTACATGCATGTGCCACGGCGCTAAACTTAGTAGTTACATGCATGTGCCACGGCGCTAAACTTAGAAGTTACATGCATGTGCCACGGTGCTAAACTTAGCAGGACGATGCAATCTTGACTAAACAAAGCAACTAAGACAAAACTGGTTCCGCACCACCAATGTTCTAAAAGACATTTTATTAGCAGAGAGCTTAGCTGAACTTACTGAAAGACAACTAAGATGCAAAAATAAACGGAACAATACTTTATATCTCAAGACTGTGATATAATTATTACTTGCATAGCCAACACTCAACTAACAGCAAAAAGTAATAAGGGATTAAGAGGGCAACTAAGTGGTACCCTGCTGTGTGCACTGGCCTCTATCTCTAACTTTCCCCCATTATAATCAAGGATCTAAGTATCTATGTTGCCCCAAAATAGGCCTATCCTTAGGGGACAATATTAACTACAGAAAGAGTAAATAACCATTAAAAAGCCAAGACCAGGAAGTGTGATAAAAAAATGATTAACTCAGCCACTCAGCAATAGATGGTGATATTTATTCTTGGGATTTCAGAACCATTAAAATGTGATCAGATTTATGATAAAGCATACAAACGTATGAGAACAAATCTCCGGGTGTTTGGCGGCCTAGATTCTTAGTTTTATTTAAAGCTATAGATCTAGACATAAAATGTTAGTTACATGGACATAAGAGTTTACAGATGACGTCAGTGGCTCCACAGAATACCAAACCCCACAGTTAGGGGTATCTTAAACATACATTAAGAAAGTCGCTAAATCTTAAAAGCCAAGATTGCTCGGGGGGGAGGGGGGGTTAGACGCATGAAGTAACTACACAGAGGAAGATAAATAACACATGCTGAAGTTTTACTGAGGCCATAAACATTATATGATCAGTTGTAGCATAAATATGGGGGCATAATCATCCCAGAATGATGACTCTGTCATAAATCAGCCACAAGCTTCAAGAATTATTTTACTTCAAACGCAATCATGAATCCAGAAAAGGAAAAGCCATGCTCAACAGCCAAGTGTGACTCTCTCCAGAGTGTTAAGAAAGACGTTCATTCCCGTTGATGATTATGACACTTAAATCTTACATAATTAGCAATGCAGGTAGTTTGCCAGTATTAGCAAATATTTCCGATCATTCTAATACACTAAAAAGACTTTAACAGCTGCTGAACTGCTGCATAGAATTCTCCTGTCCTGGAATTATTCCAGATTTTAAAAACTCAAGGCATTTCATTTTCGACACTTGTTATCAATAGCTTTCAGTCAAACCAATTACCAGAGCTATGTGGGCAATATAAATTCATTCCCTGTTACTTCTTAGTCTGCTGCTCTTTGAAGGTACACACTTCCTCATTATAAAATAAAACAATAAATTAGGACCTTACAGAGAAATTTACAGTACTGAAAGAAAAAAAAAAACCCTCTGACCTTGTCCATCAAGAACCCTTAGAAGGTTCCATATGGAACAGTCTCTGAGTGCCATTCCCAACCAGGTTTGAAAGCGGCAACAGCCCTGCCACACACAGGCAGCACTCACTCCTGCATCACTGCTCTTCCTCGGCAACAGCCCTGCCAATCACTGCTCCTCCTTGGCAACAGCCCTGCCACGCACAGGCAGCACTCACTCCTGCATCACCGCTCCTCCTCCAAATGGTTGATGTTTGTCTAGGTTTGGCCCAGACCGAGCATGGCACACAGATCAGATAAAGTGTTCATTTCTTACCACATGTCAAGGCAGGTGGAATATTCTGTGGAGCCCAGGAGAACATCTGGAGGTCTGTACCACAAGGTAACCACTTCATTGGAATACGTGTGGCTAGGGACGGATTTTGCTCTTGCAAGACCTGTAGGTTACAGGAAACATAAAGAGGTTAGATGGGCATGCAAAGAACATGTGTTTTAAATTGAAATGTTCCATTTTAAAACGTTAAACAACACTGCTGTAATTCACATACATGAATGTAATGTCAAGATGAACACAAGATTTGAGGGGAATATATGCAGTTTTTTATGTTTTTTATCATCACGTTGATAACCATGAAATAATGCATATTGAAAATAAAGCATCTGTGCTAGGGCTCCGATCAAATATCTCTAGACAAAATCAGAACAATCTCAGAATCTCCTGGCTACTGCATCTGTTTGCAGAACTCTAGTTCTGAGAGTTCCAAATATGTAAGTCGTATCACTAAGGGTTCTTTGGTAAAATAACTTGCAAAAAAAAAAGAAATATTAAGAAACCCAAAGTCTCCCAGCTATACAAAGGACCAGAGCTACCAATGTTTACGTGTGTATTGAATCTGTAAGAAGCAACTGCAATACTTTTCTCAAAGAGATGCCCCAAAAATTTTTATGGTATGAGTGTTTTCCAAAGACTCACAAGTGGATACACACTCAGGAGATTTACCTGAAAACCAATGAGCTACACAATTACAAAGCAATGCTCAAATTGGAACATATAGGTGATGAAAGTTGATATAAACCATAATGGGAAAGAGTGGTAGTATTACCTTAAAGACAATTCGACCTAATAACCAAAAATACACACAGACACAAGGCTGCAAAACAAAACAAAACATATATTCATGTATGTCCTCCATGGTTTTACCTCTGGAATATGTGATTATCCATTTTTAGAAAGATTTGTTTTACTCTGAATTTCATGTGTATGGTGGTATATGCACATAAGGATGGGAGCCCACAGAGGCCAGAAGAGGGTGTCAGAGCTCCTGGAGCAGGACTTCCAAAAGTCTGTGAGCTACCTGGTGTAGTTACTGGAAGCGAACCATGGTCCTCTGCAAAGCAGTAGGTTAGAACATGCTCTTACCTCTTGAGCCATTTCTCTGGCCCTGTCTCTTTCATAATTTAGTATTTTTAGAGTGTTTTCCCCTAGGTTGTATGTAATGACTAGTTCTTTTTGAAAATAATGTTTATCTGCAATGCTAAGGATTGAACACACTCCCCCGTATGTTAAGGAGGCCTAGTCCCCTTTTCAAAAAGATTGGCTTTTACTTTGTGTGTGTACATGTACACCTAAGTACACACATGCACATACTACGTGGACACACAGGTGGGTGCCCGTGGAGGCCAGAAGAAGGCACTGGATTCCCTGCTTGACTTGGGTGCTGAGAACTGAAGTCAGGCCTTCTGCAGGAACAGCAAGCATTCTAAACCACTGAGTCATCTCCCCGCCCTTCTACGTCTTTTAAAGGTCACACATCTCACAGCGTTGCTTCTGAAAGCCAAACAAGTCACAGTAGATCACTATCTGGCCATGCCATTAGTGGTCAGTGCAATATTTTAGATCTGAATGTCCCCTCATGGTCCATTTGTTAGAGAACAGTTCAATGGCCCACAGTGGTACTGAGAGTCGATCCAGGGGACGAGGCCTAGCAGGAGGAAGTTGGTTCACTGGGTCATGAGGGGGACATTGGGGGGACAGTCTTTCTCCCTTAGCTCCTACAAAGTGAGCAGCTGTGAACCTCTTTTAAACATGTTCATTTCAATGATATATTAAAATTATCAGAGATGTTTAGGAAATCACTTCTTCCTGTTTTTTAACCATAGCTGTTAATTTTCTGGGTTATTTGTGAACTTATAATCAAAAGGGTAGCTGGTAAGACAAAAAGTTGATAATTCAATTATCATTATAATCCATTGATCTACAGTGTAGTTGTTACAATAAGGTGATGACATATGGAATTGGCTAATGTTCTTATATATCCCATAAAAAATGTACAGCTATAAAAAATATACAAAAATATTAACTTACTACACCTAATATCTTGGACATAAATAGAGCTCTGTCCAAGCACAGATTCCATGTAGCACGTTCTCTACTTTGCAAGGTTTAACCTACCTCAATTCAGACAAAACTGTACTATTAATATGACAGTAAGGCTGGGAAAGTGTCTGCAGGGATTGGCAATCCCTTCAAACGACAACATTTCCACATAGGAACCAAAGAGCTAAGGACGGCTCTGAAAATAGGTTCTGACGCCTCCCATATGTGGCTGTCAAGTCAAATGGGAGCCAGACCATCCGAGCTGGAGCTTCTTGCTTTTCCTGAGGCCTTATTGTCAGACAGCTCATACAGAGATGGGCAAATGGAAAAAGGTGAGATTGTCTTTGACAGTTCGTACGATCAGGCTGGTTATGAAATAGAAAGAAACAGTCTAAGATGAAAAAAATATGAAACCTCAGAATTCCCTGAATACAATGAAAGCCCAACTACTGCATGTGATTACGGAGTGTGAGTTGTTAAATTGGTTAAGGATTTGGAGAAGATACAAAGGGAAGTTCCTAGTCCACATTATCTTCTCCTGTCTGACATACTCAGGTCAAGGAGAGCCACAACTTCATTTAGCTGGGCTACAATGTTCCCAAAAGGAGCAGTGAGGATGAGTTTTCCAAGTCACGAAAAAGGGCTTTGTAAGAGTGTTTGCACATAGAGATGTCATATAGACAGTAATGGGCTGTAATTCAGATTAGTGCTTTCTTCGTCTGTTTAGATGAAGTTTTCTTGTCACCTCACTTGGGGTGACATAGTCAGTTGGAAGCTGTTAGTTCTGAAGGTGTACACACATCAATGAACAAAAGGTACTTACTCTAAGGATATTCACATTCATTTCATAAGAAAAGTGAAGCCTATGGTTTCTCAGGAAAGACTGAATTACTTCAACAATGGCTTATATTTTTTTTTTACAAGAATACCTTGAAATACGATTTTCTAGTGCATTTCCCCAATCTTTTTGGTAAAGACAACACCATGTTTTTGTAAAGTTCACAAATCAAAACCTGCTTACTCATGCAAAATTTATGAAAGCGCATCTTCCAGCTGAAGGAAAACTGTAGGGCAGGATTAATTAGCACAGCATGTGTGAGAGCTTTCTCTCTCTGGTCCCTGTCAGTTGCTATGGTTACACTACAGGAAGAGAGCTACACTACCTTTAAAAAAAACCCACAAAGTTCATGGGTGATTATCAAAACTTCTTTTATTAATGTTTAGTCTGGGCTGAAAGTCTTTAGGAAAGTGAGACGCAAACCAGATGAGGGCAGCTTGTCTGCAGTGTGGCTCGGCCCAACTGGTGCCGCCAACTCTCCTGGACTCCCATAACCAAGGGATGGGTATAGCCTTAGTGTTGCCATTTCTAAGGAGGACAGACCCGAGAGGAAAGGGGATGTCCTGCTATTAAGAACACTGCTACAGTTCAGAGTGGGGCTACCACAATTCCTAAATAGAATCTTCGACTTCAGATGTAAAGAAGCTTTGTAGCTAACAATTTTCCAATGAAAGAATTCCTTTCCCCTGTCTACAATATAGGCAACTCACAGGTGACACCTGCTGCCACCTTGAGTTTGCTCCTGTCCTTTAGCAAGGACAAAGAAGAAATCTCAGGACTCTGCATTTTTTTCAAGAGGAAACAGACCTTCACCACCCAACAATGGATATTCTCCTCTTATCTTAATTGTTCTCCACTGGGAGTTACACCCTGCAGATTGCTTTCTTTATTTAAATTTCCTCCTTTACTTCTTTCTTACAGAATAGTTAGCCAAGAATGACAAGACGTCCCTCTGGGACCTTATCATATTTGTTTCATACTGGTTTTGAATATGCCATACATTTAAAGCAGTATCCTCTAGTGTGGAAATTCATGCATTGAACACTGGGTGTGGAATGCTTAGAGGCAAAGTTTTTAGGAAGAGGTTGGTTCCTGAGAGCTTTGACCTAGTAATGGATTAATTCAAGAGCACCTCTGGGCAAGTGGCCCTAGACAGTGTAAGCAAGTAGGTTGACTTGGACTGAGTCAATAAGCAGTCTTCCTCCATGGTCTCGGCTGTGGGTCCTAACTCCAGGTCCCTGACTGCTTGGCTTCTTGACTGGGCTTCCTTCAGTGACAGACTGTTCCCCGGAGCGGTATGATGAAATAAATCCCTTCTTCTTGCAGTTAGTTTACTCATGGTGTTTTACCACAGCTACAGAAAGCAAACTAAGACACTTCCCAAAGAAAACAAAATGCTCATATCATTGAGTTTTAATACAGGATTTATAACTTCGTACATGCTTCTCTGAGAGATATTAATTGAAATGAAATGAATAGATACAGTAAGCCTACTTAGAATGATTGGGCTAAATACCAATTGACGAGCTCATTGTTGTGGATTAGTCTGTGTATTAAATGAAGCTTCTGCTGACATGGCAAAGCAAACTGCCTGATGTTGATTCCAGAATTGCCCAGGTAGTTAGATTTGCTCAAGTTCCTAGGGCTCTCTAGCCTTTGGTTTTGTTTGTCTGTTTGTTTGGGTTTTGCTTGTTTTTTATTTTTTTAAACGAGCGGTCTGAAATCTGTGGACCATAAATTGAACTAATCGATGGGCATCCGTCATTCTAAATAAATCCTTTTGGAAAGCATCTACATCCGGTCATTCAGATGTGACAATGGCTGCATTTTACTGAACAGCTGAGTAGAGTAGCTGACAGATGCTCTGTGATCCAGAAAACAACTTTACTTAGAATCTGACACACGCGTAAGAAAGGTCTGCTGATACCTGCGACAGACTATGTTAATTTTTGTGCTCAACAAGTAATCAAATTCAGCAATCCTACAGATGTAATCCTAAAAGTTCTTCACTAGATGTATAAAAATCATATACACCCTAGTTCCTCCAAAGCCTCCACCTGGGCAGTTCTGCATCATGGATCCCGGCCCATCTGCAGGAGCAAAGGGTGCAGAGGCATCTCCAATGGGGCATGTGCTAATAGGCCACCATTTCACAGCTCACTGCCTTATGCTTCTAGTTTCTCTTTCTCAGTTCGTGAAAGTTGATGTATTATTTTAATTCC